TGTGAAAATTGATTTACCATTTTTGTTTTTCCTGTGATAGTATTGAGACCTAAGTTGGGGGAGGGAGGTTAGCCCCTTTTGCTATGCAACTGAGATACACTTTGGCAACCCTGATGCACAGGAACAGTTTCATATTTGACAGTGTCCTATGGCCAGAGAAAAGAATACTATTCAAGAATTCTGACTGCTGCCATTACCACTCAGACTTACTCAGGAACATTTTATGTGCTTCATGCAAAGACATCCATCCATTGTGCATCATGAAGGAAAGAGACTGCAATGTGACTGGAGTGCATGGTGAAGGAACATCGGTATAAGATTAGAGACAGAAAAATCAGGACAGGAGTGGGAGTGGGAGTGGGAGTGGGACTGAGACTGAGACCGAGACCATGAATGAAAATGGGCATGGCTCAACATCTAATCCTGTACTTGTTGCAGCATCCTGGCTTCCCTTTCTGTGTCTGCAAACAAGGTTATAATCCTCTTTGTCACAACCTTGTCAATCATCTGCACTTGAATCTGTAGGGAAGTGGGGTTGGCATGAGCTACAATGACTAATGTATTAGTCAACCTTCTTTGGAACTTAGAAAGTTACAACATTAACCCTAATCCATTCTGGGATGAAATTCAGTGTAGAACAATGATTATTTGACAGTAATGGATTTCTTTTCCTTCTTGCCAGCTTTCTCCAACCTGAGTGATGGTTCTGACACCCAGACATCATTTGCTGAGGAAAACAAGCGATTCTGAGGCTACAAAGCTGGGTCCTTAGCATAAACTGTAAATGTGCATAAGGTGAGTGGGCTTTTCTTGTGATATTCAACTGAATGTCCCTTGATAATGAATGTGTTTTTGTGGTTGAAGCTACTGTGTTCTGTGCCTGTAAATACCCTAGCACCTGATTAAATTTCTTTAGCGAAATAATAAATAAAGGCATTTTATGCTTAGGTGTATGCATATCATTCTAAATTTTAAAGTTGGATGGATCATTAAATATGATGTAGCATTATGTAAATCTCTGCACTATACCAAAAATGAATTAGCCATGTCCTTGTGGGGCCATCGCAATACCTCAATGGTTCATGCCATTGAAGTTTTACCAGGCATCACAATGCATTAGCTGAAAAGTTTAAAATACCAAAGTCAGTATTTGCAGATGCTTATGAATTGTAAGTAGTGATGAAACCCCACAAGAATCCAGAAAATAAGAGCAGGAGAGAGAAGAAATGACAGTAGTTCACTGCCAATGAGATGACAAAAGGTCTAGCTTTTTCTTTTTTTATCCAAGCCCCCCTCAATCAGCCTGCATTGGCTTCCAGCCTCCAACTTTTCTTTGCATGACACAATGGTGCAATGCAGAATGGACTGTTAATCGTTAGGGCTCTTCACTCTTCACATTAGGGTCTGATGTCATCTTATGAGGCACCTCTGCATTCTCCCATTTCCCCATTGCTTCCATTTTTTTAATTCACAAATAGAAATGTTGCTAATGCATTGGTTTATTGGCAAGTCTGGCAACTTGTTTTCTCTGGTGCACTGTGTGGGACAAAATTTAATAATTTAAGCTTGCATGTTGCCACTGGCAACTATCATATTGTGGTAGAAGTGATCACTTGAACAATAGGTACTTTCTTCTCACTAACAGGTTTGGAGGGATTCTAGTGAGAGCCAGGCCTGGATATGATCCTCATATAGGCATACTATGTTTGCCAGATTTTATCACCACACTGAATATCGACAAAGAGGGGCCAGCTTCTTTGAGAGAATCAATTCTGCCATGCCTACTTCAAGGTTGCATTGTGCAGATTGTAAGAAGTGAAAAATTTCAATGACCATCCTTCATACCCAGGAAAGCAGAAAGGTGGAGAACCAGCCTGGCATTCATCATCAGCAACTGAACCATCCCCTTTCACTCTTCTTCCTTTTCCTTCTATTGAATTCAGCATAAGCATCCACTCAATATATTTTACACTATTTATTCCACTTTCAGAAAAAAAACTTTTGAACTGGTGACCTTCATTTGTGATTTGAAATTTTAAACTTCAAATGGGATTATGCATATGGGAACTCATGTTCAGTTAGATGGTGTAGGAAGTAAGCAGGCACGTTCCAATTGGCCCACAGAGCTGACGTTATCTTGCACACTGAGTTGGGCAATATTATATGATCTCATCTCCTGTTTAAGGGATGTCCGGTCAATTCCCTGATCACGTTCCGATTTCACGGTTGCAGAAGGAGGGATATTGACCACATCCATCTCCTTCATGTCTAGGGGTCGATTTATAGTTCATGCCCTTGTTTGTCTCTGAAGAGGTACAATGACACAAATAACAGAACAACCCTACTAGATGAAAGTTTTATTTTGGTTTAATGGTGAAAGGTCTACAAATGAAATGTTTTCTCTTCCTAGAAACTCATATTATAGGCAACACTATGCATCAACTCTTGTAGGTCGTCTGCAGTTGAGTTCTGAATCCCTGCGTATCTTTGTACGAGGGTTTTCAGACGTCAATCTACGTCCAGGTACTTCTTCCTTGGAGGAGGGGGAGCACCAGCGATTCGCTGGATGATGCTCACTTCGTGCTTATTGTTCTCTTGCTGTAGTCTCCTAAGATAGGTGAAGAAATTCAGGTGTAGTCCGTCACAGTTTTTTAGGAAACTGGAATGGAAGCCTTCCACGGCATTTGTTGTACGTGGAAGGTCCTGCAGGACACGATTGTAGTTGTTCCAGAGACCTGGTTCGAACAGAGGTGGTATCTGATGGCTACCTCTCATCACCCGTCTGATATAATTATCTTCAAAGTAGCTCAGTACAGGCAGTGCTGTGTTTGGCATGGTGGCTACAAGGTCGTTGAATGCATCTTCCACCTTTGCTGGTGGCACAAAGCTGAGTGCAGGAAGGGACTTCATTTGCAGGCGAAATTCAGGATCATTTTCATAACGTGGCTTCAGACAAGAATCTTGAATCTTTCTCCATACGCTTTGCACAAGATGGAAATGACAACCGTGCAACTGCACACCTGGAAACCAGGGCATTCTGAGCAGCCTTCTCGAAATCAGTTAAAGTTTCATACGCAATCCCTCCAATAAACAGATCCTGATAAGTAATATGAAAGCATACTTGAAATGTACAATAGAAATTAAAAATATTTTATCTTCATATTAATCCCATACGTATTTGGCATATCGATATGGAAGTATTTGTAAAGAGACATTGAATTATGAATTTTTCTTAATTATTAAATGGTTATACACTTGTGACCTTGACACTGCGTGATTGATTCCTTTGAAAAGGCAGGATAATATGTTCAGAAATGGAAATGAAATAATAATACACATGCACTATGTTATTGCACTAACCTGTCTTCTGTTGCATGGTCTTTGCATCATTCATGATGTTTGTGATCGCCTTGCAGACTTGTAATTTTCCAGGTTCTGGAGCATGATGATGTTGCCCTTGCCTGCTGACAACCTGCTTTCCTTCAGTTGTAGCTCTGAAATTGCAGTTTCCTTTGTATCTTCTATAGAGGCACTCCCAATATGTTCTTCGTCTGTCCTTGCTGATATTGTTCTGTATGAGCAGGTAGCCCTCAAGAACAATAAGATTCTTGCCCTTTTCGCTCTTCACGAACTCTCACACCGTCCAAGCACTGACCACTTAATGATCTGATTCCTAACCCACCCAACTTCTCCATATATAGCCATGTTTTAGATTTTGATAGACATCTTGTCGATCATCTCATCTCTGGCGGCTGAGAGGATTGACTTTCCCCTTTCCTTCCGTTTGTCTAGACCCCCCTGGGCCCTTTGGTTCCAGCTCGGCAGGGGGGCAGTCCCATCTCCCTCCCCCCCCCACTCCCCCATGCATGATGTGCGAGACAGGAAACTAAATGGGAACAAATCCATTTCCTATGGGGAAATCCCAAACGGAGAATTGACAGGGAACCAATCATTTTAAGGATAGGTTCTACAATAGAGAGGAACAATAGTGATTGGATGTTGAGGACATGAAATGTTATCAATGCATCTTGTCATAGCATTTTGGTGTTGAGCAA